GCGACAAAAAGCGAATATGAATGGGGAGAAATGCGGTCTTGTTAAAAAAGGAGCTGTGGCAGCCTGGGCCAAGCCCAGCCAGTCCTGCATACTCAGAGCAGCCAGAATCATAGAATGGTTTCGACTGGAAGGGACCTTAAAGATCATCCAGTTCCAACCCTCTGCCATGGGCAGGGACACCTTCCACTAGACCAGGTTGCTCAAAGCCCCATCCAGCCTGGCCTTGAACACTTCCAGGGATGGGGCATCCACAGCTTCTCTGGGCAACCTGGTCCAGTGCTTCACCACCCTCTCCGTGAAGAGCGTCTTCCAGATATCTAATCTAACCCTGCCCACTTTCAATTTAAACACGTTATCCCTTGTCCTGTCACTACAGGCCCCTGTAAAAAGTCCCCCCCAGCTTCCTTGTAGCCCCTTCAGGGACTGGAAGGTGCTGTTAGGCCTTTTCTTCTCCAGGCTGAACAAGCCCAACTCTCTCAGCCTGAACTGAGCAGGAGTTCTCCAGCCCTCTGAGCATCTTCGTGGCCTCCTCTGGAAGGAGGAAGACAATGCCTCCTCAGAAGACAAAGCCTGGGACTTAGCAAGCAGACAGGAGACCACAGGCTCGTCCAGCTTCCAAAAATTTGCAGATCCAGGACTTGCTAAACCAGAAAGTACTTTCTATCTGTTTAAGAACTCATGACTGACACATCTGCAAAGAGGCCCAACACTGACATCAGTGACTTGCCCCACTGCCTGATGCAGCTATTTCTGAATGTAGAGCCTGCGGTTCCCTAGAAAGTCAAGGTGGGTATTCCACAGAAATGCAACAACAAGCTGAAATCCTTCCTCCTCCTGCTTTACTTAAAAGGTTGGTCCCTCTAAGTCTTAAAATCCCTACATTCCCAATCCACTGTACTTTGGAGTTTGACCAAGCTTAGACACCTCCCCTGATCCACTAGAGAAACAGATGCCTTTAAGGAAACTCTAGCATTTTCTCCAGTAGGCAAGCCTCACAAAATAACCTTCAATTCTGCATGTGCAAGTGCTCACTCATGCTCCCTCCTTCATAAATACTGCAGACTTCAGGAGTCAACTTTATTTCATGCTTCTTTGGTTAAAATAAGAATTTTTACCAGCTCATCTTCCCAAACTGTCTGATAAGATCTGAGGTGTTGCTCTCCACCGGCTGGGGTGAATGGTGACTTGTTCTGCTCTCACATAAATCAGATTAAGAGTCAGATAAGAAGCAAAATATGATTGTTTAAAATATCCTAATAATTTAAGTCTTTTAGCCTCCTTCCTACTTTTTGATAAGCCAGTATTTTATAGGAACAAGCAATGATAGAGCTGTTCAAAGCTGTGAACAAGGGGATCCTGAAATTCCAGCTGCAACTGTCCACTGATTGTCCAGTATGTTTCAAACAGCTGGCATTACCTTGAATTTTACAACAGTTTTACAGTATTACCTTAAATTGCAACATTACCATAAATTTTACAACAGCTTTCAAAATGTTAAGTATTTTATTGAAATTATGTCATCGAAGATGCGAGGCAAATGCTATCAGAATTGGACCCAGGAGAAGCAGTCTGCTGCTCTAGCTAGCAACGGTGATCTGTAAGACAGCAGGACTTGAAACCACACCATAAACAATGCTCCAAACGGGTTTAAGTGCATTCTGTTCCCCGAAGCTGAGATGTTTCTAAAGAAAAAGAAATTATTTGTTCTCTACCCCTGCTGGCTATGTAATCAATTCAAAACCCAGTTTCAACTTTTTAACCATATACCCTCTCCAAACCATGATGGTAGATGGTGTGAAGGCAAAAAAAAAACCCTTGCAGAAGTCATAATTAACTGAGTTGATGAAGAACAAGTGCGTGCATTAACAGACCAAGTCACTCTTTACTTGTTTCTCTCTGTGAAATCACATACTCACACATCTGCCTACACTGTGTGTAAGGTCTTTAGTCACCCTTAAGCGTGAGATGCTGATTCCTAACACGTCAGAGCTCATGCTTCATTTGATTTATTGTTTTATATACAATGTCATTTTATTTCTTTGGTATCACTTGCCTATATTTCGCTTAAGAGTTACATAAAATCTGCATTAAAATGAGTCGCTCAAATGGCTGTTCCAATTAAAAGTATTTCCCATGAAATCCTGTTTTCCAGCACTTCCAAAACACTTTGCTGCACTTGAAAAGCTTATCTTTTTAATGCTGGGTTGATGTCAGTAGTATTTTTTCTACTACAAAATATTTCCAACATGCTTTCAAACTAGGTACCTAGTACTAGGTATCTACATTTCAGCTTTCTGATGACTTAACATGAAGCAAATCCTTTGTCTCAATCCAATTCTCACTGAAGAGACAGGGACCTCACAAACAAAACCCTCAGCAGCAAAACCTACCACATCCCTTGCTGCTAATTATCTGCAGATACTGGATGTTTCCAGCTAAGAAAACTGAATCAGTGTCATTCCCAGATGGACTCCTCAGCAATTAACAGTGAAATACTCTGCTGCTCCTGCGCTTTCAGCACGCCTTGTCCAGAAACAGAACTGGAGGTTTCAATGCTTTCAGTTAGATATTTTTCAGGAGATCTTAATCCATTTCCTTTTCCTGAGCATATTTCATTCTGAGTCAAAATGTTTCCGTTTCGGGCCTGGTCTACTCTAGAGTACTTCTGTATTACCCATTCTTACCTTTTCGACAGATAGCACTCAAACATTTTCACAGGGCATCTAGCTGGATCAGACGTGTTTTCAATTTGTTCAAATACTGGTTCATCATCTTCGTGTTTCCTTTTTCCAGTAGTAATTTTATCTTTAGGAAGAAAATCAACAACATCTAAGCTATAATTTGAAGTGATTTTACATTTTTCTGTAAACCTGCAAGAGCGGGCAGCCCACCAAGTACCGCGACGTGGTCGCCACAGCTATCTGCAAACAGGAAATGCAACCCGCAGCTATAACAGAGTCACAGCATTTAGCACAGAGACCTGCGGGCTCAACGGGATCATTTAATGCAAAGGCCCTGTGGTCTCCATGGACCACACGCTCTGATTAAAGATCCGGGAGCCGAGAGCTGCTAAACCTTATGCAAAGGCAGACTTCTGGCACTTGGCAAGGTGCCCAGGTGTCCCTCAGAGGAGAGCAATGTGGACGCTCCTGCAATACTTATTTTGGAATTGCCATAGTACCTTCACTATCAGCTCGGCACAGGGAAGACACTTGATATCGAAGACAAGCTTTGCTTTCCATTGTTAGAGGATTTTTTTTCCACTGTCTAAAAACAGTGCCAAAAGAAAGTCTTAAGTGCTGCTCCACTGTTTTCAGGCCAAAATATTTAGTGTTAAAGTAGAACAGAGTGTTCAGAAGAGCCACTGGTGAATGTGATCCTAGCTGTTTAATCCTCCAAAGGTAATCTTCTTCAACTCGAGAGAATATTGATCCTTCAGAGAAAGAGTATTAGAGAAAATACAGTGGATTAGTCCATAAACTGTCCAGGTGCAAAAGAATCAAGTTTCTGTTCACTGTGAAATTTAACAAAATGCTCACGACAGAAGCCTCTAATAAGCATATTTAATTATATGTCCACACATCCAAAACCACCTCTTAAAGACACAGACACCCACTGTTTCAGGAAGAGAGTCAATAGGAAATATCAGTATAGGCAATTTCACACAGAACACATTTGTGTTTAATTACAACAGCATTGCTTTCATGCAACTCCCTCATGTTACTACATAAAAGCAAATGTTCAACGGGCTAATCTTAATCCCTTCACAAAATGTGTATTTTTGAGTTGATTTTTGAAGTCAGGCAAGGCCTCCAAATGGATATACCTTCTCCTTTCTTCTTACTAATGGTCATCTCACTTGGAAAGCAGTCCTGGACCATACCAGGGCACAGGGAGGACCCTATACAGATGGGGTAGAGTCCTCCCAGTCTAGCTGAGAAAAACTAAAATACATAGTTAGCCCTACCCACATACGTGTTCAGGCCCAGTGCCTGCCTGCCTGCTTCCCATCTGGGGAAGAAATGGGGAAAAAAATAAACTCAGGTCAGGTAAAAAAAACAGCTCGAAGAACAGCTGCTTAGTCTAACTTTCTCCCCTATAAACAGACAGTCAATTTAAGATTAACAGGTGGTGGCAAAATCAACTCTTGCAGCACAGACTACCAAGAACCAAGACAATAAGAACAGGTACAATCTTAACTGAATTCTTAGATGATGTCGTTATGATTTTTTATCAATTACTAATGCAACGCATAAAATTTTTGTATATATCTACATCTCAAGAATACAGAACTAGTAAAATATGAAAAACATACATGACCAAAAAGAAAATTACCATCTGGAAGTATACTTGGTTGCCAACTTCTAAGGATTTTATTTAATTCCTGTTCAAATGTCTGGTAGATTGGATCAATAAATATGTTGTCTTTTCGATTACTTCCATATAAAAACTACAGAGAAGAGAGAGAGACAATATTTACAATTCCAGACTAGAACACATCCTGTGCTACAGGGTTCTCTTTTCAGTACAATGCTTGCACTTTTATTAAGAAAACAAAAACTAAAAATAAACCACTGACAATGTATCCTTAGCAGTTGAAAGTTACCTCCAATGTAGAGTATGTTATAAATCTCTAACTGGATATGAATCACAGTTTAATTACAACTCTAACATTTTTTTCTAATATTTCCTGTGTGCAACACTGTATCAATGAATGGGGAGTCACTTAAAAAAAAACCCCAAACCAACAACTAATTTATGTCTCCTCCACCTAGCTCTTCAAAGAAAAACAAAATATTTAGCAAGAATCCACCATTTTTAATGTGAACTCTGGACACTGACAAAAGCACCTTCAACAGAAGCGCGAGGAAAAAAAACCCTCAAATATTTGTGGCAAGGATACGCAGCAGTGCAAGAAAAACAATAGGATGGTGCAAGGTGCCTACCTATTCTGCAATCTCATTATCTTAACCCTCCTGATCTTACAGACAGAAACTCTTTTGAACCTTTACCAAGAATTAATGGATGGAGGGCTCTATTAGTATGAGACATTTCTAAGAAATGGAGGATTGGCTTCTTAAATTTTCCACTTCAATGTTATCTTTGCTTGAGCAAGCCTGTTGTTAGTGAATACAGTAAAAGTGACAGATCCAAAAATGTACTCACTTCTGGAAATGGCATCTATTTCTGTACACATACTTGAAACAACACTGAACACAGCACTCATTCATACTAGGCGGTTTAGCAGATCTTGACTTCCGTATCTTTGCACTTAGTTTTATAATAAGGAAAAATGAAAACACACTTCCTAGAAGTCTCCAACACATCTTCATTTAGATAACCACTCTGTATGATATGTTTAGCTAACTCTGCAAAGCACAATATTGCCCAAAATGTGCTTGTTTCTACAGATACCAGTTTTGATTTTATAAAGGAATTCTAAACCAGACAATGCAGCTTACTTGCAAGCTTCATGGGGTTTGCCCCTCTCTTCCCTGCCACATTTTTCTTCCATGAATTTTCTTTTCCTCTGGTTTGCATTAAACACTAACACTGACTGTGAAACTCAAAAAATACTGAAGAGTGGATCAAAACCACTTCTCATACAAACCTGGAGAATTCCAGTAAAAACATTTCTGTTTCCTGGTTTAAAATGTTTGGCTAAAAACCCTGCCACCCGCAGCAGAAATTGGTGAAGCACCCCGGACCATTAGCACCTCAGGGTCTCCAGAATGATGATGTTGTGTTGCAGTCTCCCCTGCTATACACTACCCAGCACGCATCTGCAAACCTTCATTTCCACTCCGTAACCCTGTGCTCTGCTACTCTACAAACTCTGGCAGGGGCAGGATTAGCATAAGCACTTTCCACCTGAAATGAGCTCTACCAAAAACATGGTGAAGAGTAAGGAAGTGACCATAGTTCCAAGTCCCACAGTGGAGAAGAGGATGAACCACTGCCCACAGCACCTTCTGACAAACATCCGCCAAGCTCCACCAGTCTGAATTTTGCCCAAATCACCCCATTATTACAGGTGAAAAAAAAGAACCTAAAAAAACCAATCCGTACTGGGACAAAGAATGAAGGCCATGATGCAGCTGGGGAGCAAGGCAGGCTAACATGTTCTTCTAGATGAACCCCCTCCACCAGATGCCTGCCTGAGCATGCAACAACCTTTACTTTTAAATGTGGTATTTTTCAGAATCAGTAATTCAGAGTTATCAAAACCATTGATGACAGTTAACCAATGATTTGCCTTGTGTACCAAAAATGAAGACATCCTCTGCTTAAAAGACAAGCTGTGAAATAGCTTTTCTAATTTTCTAGCGATACGTTATTACCTTCACATAGACTGCATCTAAACTGACTCCCCTTATCTTCGAAATACAATGCAATTACAATCTGGGGGCAGGGTGTGTGTGTAAGACAGTCAATATAGCAGTTTCCTGCACTCTACAAAGAAGTCTGACTGCCCACAGTCTGCAAGATTCAGTAAATCAGACTCTCCCAAAAAGACCAGTTTCCACTACCTGCTAAGCACTTAGTAAAACGTTTACATCATGCCTTGTTTCATTCTGTTTTTACACAAAACCATCTTCAGCGAACAAAATGAAGCATTTGGAAAAACTATGTCATTTTAGACTGCAAATTCCTTGCTATAACCCTGCAAGAAGCTTAAAATTACTACAATACACCAGTTGACATTTGAATTTTCAGGATGGATCTGCAAACTCATTTTCTACAGTAGCCTTTGTGCGTTCCAGATCACAGCCGTTGTATTAAGAATAGTGCCTAACCAATAAATCCGTATTATCTCCATTCTTTCACTATAATGGGTTACAGTCAAATCAGCAGCTCCACTTCCCATGTCTACAGCCTCTACTAACCTCCTGAATCCCAAGACACAGATAATAGATGCTGTCAGGTGCATAGTTCTCTCCATTTGGCCTTCGAATTTCATTGACAAAATGTGTCAACCCATAGTTTAACTCCGCTGAAGTATGTGACAACAGATCTTCCTTTAATTTCACAAACTTTGCTGTAAAACAGAGAAAAAAATGCTACTTTATACAACAGAATTATGACACGGTGAAGGTGGGATGGGGTATTTTTGGAATGGAAAGCAGGAAACTGGCTTGATGTCCTCTCCACTAACTAATGAACGAATCTAAGTGTACTACGTAGCTCAAATATTAGGTCTGTATTAAAATAAACAAGGCTACCAGAGTAAAGTCTAATTAACCAAATGCAGTATCACCCACTGACGAATGCATAGTCATGAACAGCTAAGGATGACACAAAAGTGGCCCAAGATGCTGAAGTGAAGACAGTGCTGTGGAGGGCGACCTTCAAGGAAACGGCTGTTTTCACAGTTCCAAGAGCATAACACAATGATGCTAAGATGCACGTGGGAGCTGAAGAACAGCAGGAGTACCTGCAATCCCCCTTCTTCCCCACAGTGCAAGCATACACACAGAGGAGCACTGCAGAAAGAGCAGCAAGGCTCCAAGGTGGGGAAGGCCACCTGGTGTCAGAGCTCCACAGCCAGGTAATGCCAGCCTCAGATGAAGACCCCTTTCCCTGACCAGAAGCGGGAATTTATAAGAAGTACAGAAAAGGTGTGAACTCCAAGGCAAGTTAGAATATAAGGAAAAACAGGATTAAAAAAAAAGTAGTCATGAGAAGCCAGAAGACGCAGGAAGGTACTGTCCTGGCTTGCATGAGATGCATATTTTGAATGAACTAGGGACAATTGCTTTAAAAAAAAAACCCAAACACCACGCAATTTGGCAAATCTGGTAAAGTAATTCCAGTCATGGTGAGAACATTAGAGACGTACGAAAACTTCTATTAAGAATGCAACTGAAAAATCAGACAAGTCCAGCAAATCTCCCTACCAAATAAAAATCTGGATGACAGATATTTTGGAAATACTTACTTGATTTCAGTTCCTCTAGTTCTGGAAGCTCTTCATCTAAATGCCGAGACTTCACCCAGTGCTTCCACGCATTTACACCATACGTGTATTTGAATGGAAAACTACACTCCGAGTTTTCAGAGCTGTCATCGTGAGCCTGGTATTCTGACACTGCTTTCCTCTTCACCCCCTGTCATTGAAACACAGTGGTTAAGGGCGCCGACAGCCGCTGGCGGCAGGGACACAGAAGCTGGGCAGAGTAAGCAAGCTGCAGGCCAAATTACAAACTAAAGGTTCCACGTCAAGAAACAGATGCTTCATTCAGTAGGCAGTTTCTGCGTTGAACAAACTTGTAAGGGCAGTATTTACTTAAGCTGACAAACGTTCCTAATTCACCTTTCAAACTGGTTCCTAACACAGAGTAATTTCTGATAACAGAGGTGCTGTATTGGTTATATATGAAGCAACAACACAGCTGAGGCACCAAGTGATTCAGTGTATTTATAGCATCCCACTGTGTTAATAAGCAGGAAGTTAAAGATGCTATAAATTGTGTCAGGAGGTCAACTTTTAGGCTCAACTGAACTCATCCATGGAAAAGCCAGGACTGGTCCAAAATTAAAGTGTGTCCAGCAGTAGATATGCAGAAAATGTCCAGTGGATAATACTGACAGTTTTAGACTGCACATTTTAAAACTTAAAAAGACACATTTATTCTTAGGAAGTTTTATTAGAAGTTGGCTGCTGTTTTTAAAAGCTGGAATATCTACTGCAGTTATTGCCACAAAACCATTTCAGCTTTGTGCTAGGCACCAGAAGCTGTTTCCTGTCAGTTTCCTTTTAAATAAAAGAATATGGCTAATTTCTTTGCAGTGTCTAAACTAAGATTTTTGACTGAAATTAAAATCTGGGAAAACTACAAGCAAATGCCTCTTTTTTTAAACTGTTTTATACAGTAGATGCTATAGGTCCATTATAGGCCACAGTAATGCCAGCATTCCTCCACTTTACTATCAAATTGAACTGAGAGCTTTGTTCAAAGTAGAAGGTAGAAAAGCATTATTAAGCATATATAGTAAGTATATACACTAGCACATTACATCAACAGTTCCACCCATGTGAAGCAAAAATAGCATAAGACTTTAGAAATCACACTCCTATTAAATCCAAGAGTTAACTGCAACAGACACAGGAATGAAATTATTTTATTATTAGAAACGTATTGACTTACATCATAAAGAAAGGATATTGGGTATGACTAGGCAGTAACTTGTTTTATAGCAACATGAGAACTGAAAAAAACCACAAAAAAACTGGCATATTTTTGACCACTTAACTTCTGTGCTTTTGATTTTTTTAATAGCGTGACAAAATTACCTTCTTTTTGGACCGAGGCCTTGGCTGTTCTTCGTATTCTTCCCCAAATACAGGAGGCAATAAAAACTCATTTTCTGTATCAAGCTCCTCAGTTGCTGAAAATACAGAAACTTATTTTTAAACATATTTTGAATAATATTGGTTTGAAAAAAACCACAATTATCTGTATCAGTGTGCATTAACATAAAGGGGTCCACAAAAGCACCCATATAAACATTACCAAAGACTGGATTTTGGTCAGATCAGAGAAAGAAGAAACTTTTTATGATGAGGTTGCTGAAACCCTGGAACAGGTTGCCCAGAATGGTGGCAGATGCCCCATCCCTGGAAATATTCAAGGCCAGTTGGACAGAGCTCTGAGCAACGTGCTCTTAGTTGAAGATGTCCCTGATCATTGCAGGGAGGTTGGAACTAGATGGCCTTTAAAGGTCCCTTCCAACCCAAACCAATCTATGATTCCATGAAATATACCTATTCTTACTTTGAAACTAAGGCGAAGCTATCAAAATATTTATTTCTAAAATAACATTCTGGGCATTGATCTCTTCTGCCAAGCGACTAGCACATGGACACGAGGAAACAGCCTCAAGTTGCACCAGGGGAGGTTTAGGTCGGATATTAGGAAAAATGTCTTCATCAAAAGGTTTCTCAGGCACTGAAACAGGCTGCCCAGGGATTTGGTTGAGCCACCATCCCAGGAGGTATTTAAAAGACATGTAGACGTGGTGCTCAGGGACGTGGTTTAGTGGCAGACTTGGCAGTGCCCAGTTAACAGTTGGACTTGATGATCTTAAAGGCCTTTCCCAACCTAAAAGATTCTATGGTTCTAAACTGTAAAAGATACAATGCTCAAAATTTTCAAGCACTACCTCAAGTCACTAAGGCAGCATTTCTGCCTAGGTGGTCTTGAGTATTAAGAAGTTTAAGTTATGGTGAGAATGAACAGCTGTAAGTGGAAAAAATGCAAAAAAGTTACTACATGAACCTTTGTTCATGTATTCCCAAGATTTCTATTCACATTTTATATCTTATATAGCACATTATACTTGGTCAAAAATATTAAGGATCAGAATGTAAACTCTTTCAGAGAAACTGGTTTTAGTCTATATACACGTGGTGGAGGTCTAGCTCATTAGAGATATTACAATAATTTCAGAAAACAGATAAATGGTAATATGTCATAATATTTATTGAACTTTTCAGGGATAGGATGAAGGACTCTACTTCAGGCAACACAGCAAAATGAGACAGCGTATGTATTTAATATTGCGAGTTCCACCTTTGTTTACTGAAGATAGTTCATCCCTCTTTAGTGATGTAGCAATGCCTTCATTCAAAACTGAATGCTCCTCTGATTTCACCTACTTCCTACTCAAGACACCATTCAAACTGGTCCAGATGCAACAGCACTCACATCCAAAGATTTAAGAACTCTGCCCCAGACTAAACACCAGTCCTTCTCCCGCTGCCACAAAAATCTCATCTCAGAAGCACTTCATCTATTACAAACCGCTATTATTTTCTATTCCACTCTTTTTTTTCTATCATGTACCAAGACTCACTTATAAAAAGGATTAAAAATCTAGTACACATCTGGCTATTAAACTTCCTAAGACTAAGGTCAGACTAAGCCCTAGAGTTAATCTTTAAATGAAACATAGAGCAGCTGAGAAACCAGTCTGGGCATCTAGTGCAGACACCTATGGCACATGGCAAAACCTTCAGCATCAGATGGAGAAGCTAGCATGGGGAGGCATGAGTTATATGTCCAAGAGAAGCTGTGTCAAGGTGCCAAAGCTCCTGCTACAGCCAGGAGCTTTCATGGACCTTGGATTTATTAGGATATAGTAGAAGGGAACAAACACTGTTGCCTGCATTCTGTAGAGTGGTAGAAATTGTAATGCATAGAAGGTCTCAAAGTAGTGATTTTCCTGCTAATTGAAGTAAAATGCCTTTTTCAAATACAGGCATGGACTTCAACAAGATACTGAAAGGTAACACAAGTGATGTGCAGCATATCAGCTTGGAATTTTGTGAGAAATTTAAGTAGGAATTTTCCCTTTTGTCATTTCTGCTTTAAACCACCTATTCCCATGGAAATAACTGCTGACTGAAATATGCATTCATTATTGTTTTCCATGACACATGCCATCTGAGTCTTTGAGCTTTCAAAAGGACTTTCCTAAATCCATGTCCAAACCCAAGTGATGCAGCCAAATTCTTTTGTAAAAGATTAATTCCCCCTCCTCTTTGTATTTTCTTCCAAACACCGTATTTAGAAAGATGAAGGAACTCCTTCAGAAGTCACCAGTCTTGGAAAGACATGGCAAAGTTTTACCTAACAGTTAGTCAAGTGATCCTGCAATCAAATAAAGCTCCTCTGAAACGATGATGAAGCAAAGTGCAATGGCTGCCCACAATGTCTACTTCACCATGTTTATTACAATGACAGAAAAATTACCTCTTGGAAAGTCTATTTCAATATCAAGGTCTGGTTCATATGGAACATCAGGCAAGCTTGTCTGTGCCTCTGTTTCTGAGTTTAGTAGATCTGACTCAACTACCACACCTGTTTAAAAAAAACAAAAGGTGGAGAAACTCTCATTATTTTAATGAACACACGGATTAGTCAAAACAGGGCAGATTTAGAACAACAGAAGCTGAGTGGTTGGAAAGCTGCTTGTTCTGCTCATCATCATACTATGTTTTGTTGTCCTTGGGATTTCCTTCCAACAGAAAGGATACTTACTAGCCCATCTGCCCTTCATCAAGATGAGTCAGCAAAGCATATGTATGGAAAATCAAATACTGGGGAATATGGAATATATCAACCAATCACAGAACTCAAACAAGCTTGAGCAACACAACTATCTATTTTTCCACATGATTCTCCCTGAAACAGAACACTTTCAAACCTGTGAAAGAGATCCTAACAAAAGCAAACAAGGCAGGCAGGCAGGCTGAGAGAAACAAGAGCTTGACCTGTTTCCAACTTCTGGCAAAAGCAGGTCCCTCCAAATTCAGTTCTCTGGAAATAAGCAAGCTCTGATCCCATATACCTACTCATCCAGCTACCTGTAGTTAGCAAAAGGGAGCAAGGAACTGCAAATGGCAACCTTGCAGCACTCCCAGAAATGTGCAGCTTTAGTGGGGGAATGGCTAAAGTTTGGAAAACAATAAACCTCCTGGGACTGCAGCACCATTGGCCTCCTATATCCCAGGCCCAAAGCATAAGTTCATGTCATTTATCAACATCCCTTGAGACATCCTGAAAAAAACCCCAAAACGTCACCTGAGTCATGGAAAAACCTTAAAATCTAATTTTTGGAAGAGAAGGAAAATTCTCCTGGCAAGATACAGAAGAGACTTGAGGATTTTGGCAGGTAGAGCTGGGAAAGGGGGGGAAAGAGGTATGTACACTGCAAAAATATATTAGAGCATATGTGGGATTTTTGGATCTTCAGCTGCAAAGTTGTCCCAGAGAGTTCTCTCCTTTGGTGAGCTGGTGAGATGACAAGCCATTTCAGCATCACAGCCCCAATAATCTATCAGCTGATGCACTACTACCTTCAAAAAGATGACACTTGCAGGTCAGGATCAAGAGTGAAAGCATCAGTTGGTCACCTGGTTTTGTGGACCACAGTTTCACTTGTGAAATGTGTTTCTCTTAGTTTTAACAGTTCCTGCTTCCTCACACCCCACGTAAAATGTACCTAGTAAGGTGCTACTACAACAAGCTCAGTTGTCTGTCATGTATCACCGGTTCAGAGAAAGTTGTGTTCACATCTGT